GGGCATATTTTGTCGTCAGTCATGTAATCGAGAAAGTTTCAAATTGAATGGTTAAAACAATGAAATATTACCACGTGCCCAAGCGTCAAGAGTGTTTTGGCGTAAGCACATAAATACTGTAAATAAGGTAATATACACACAAAGAAAAGCTTTTGTGCACCACCATGCATACCGTCTTCATATAATTCACCTTGGTATAGTGTCAAGACAGAACAGGCAACGGCAGGTTTGGTTGCCACTGTTTTTTTTACACCAACGGTAGACGCATGAAAGCGCCCCTTGACAGCAGAGGTTGCCATTTTTGCTGATGATTTCTGGTGCAATATTGCATAAATACAATCCCTAACAGAGTTGAAGCATACGAAAAAACCAAAACTGGCAAGGTGCCAAGCGTGCAGGAATAAGTGCTACAGCTCCGCTAACCTGATGCCTGGTGATGGGTAAAGCATGCAGTATTGTGAGAGATATTTCTTTGATGAGGCACTAATGGCGGCAAGCCTGAAACCGGGAAAGCAAGGAAGAGGGTTCAAGTCTTTTAACGTCATTGGGAAACTGCACCACAATGCAGCTTACCTCAAGGTTGGCATTTTTCCCTGCATTCCCCTCAGTTCCATGCGGCACGTAATGAAAGTTTTTTTTTTTGCTTCACAAACATCGTCGGCTATTTCTTTGGCGCGCTGTTGCCTTCACTTTAGTGGATAACTATGAAGACGTGGAATTAGCTCATTGGGCCGCATACACAGTTTTATAATCAACCGTGACTACATTAACAACCACAGCGGCTACAGAAGCTGGCAAACGTAGTCTCTACGGTGGTTCCCACCTTAAACAAAGTTTGCAGCTGCTTGATTTTAAGTGAAGCCTGTGGTCGCAAGCCTTAGTTTATGATGAAGAAGTGGATATAGTGAGAGTGATAGCTAAGAAAGTAGAGAAAAACTTGTGTAAGGCTTTGAGCTGCAAGAAATAGTACTCTTAAAAGTTGTTCCCAAAGATGTTCGTCCCAGGGAAGCCTGCGAAGCTCTAATATGGGATGTGTAACTCTCCAGCCGTCATATCGCTTTCATACAAGGGTATAATACAGTAAACCATCCCCAAGGTCGTTCATAATAAAGATCAACAACCATTGGACACTCCAGCAAAAATTTGCACACATCCTGCACAGACCAACAGGCAGTTCTAAGGCGCAAAAGAACTAGCACGTTAAAATCCCCGATGAAACATTTATTGGTGGAAAAACCAGGACTGCGAAACGCCAGCAGAACAGGAGCGCGCAGACCGACATGGCACGGTATTCCACAGAAGTCCAACGTGTTTCGAATTACGAGTGTTGCCCCATCTTTCGCGCGGCGTTTTGGGTATAAGGTCATTAAAATGCATGGTGCATACTAGCAAAATTTCAATTCTTAAGGTGTACGAAAGGGGACCACGGAACATAGGTATTCCCAATGCCTGCATTAATATTTTCATGAAGTTTTTTCAAAACGATTTCTTAGAAAAATGGAGAGCACGTGAATTCTATCGCAACTTAATTGTTTGACTGTTGATATCACGGAAAGTTCTTTGTACTCACATTGGCTTTTCCGCGTTTCTATATTGTTATAAATGAAACGATGGAACTGAACCGAATTCTGTCTTTTCCGCTGGCTCTCTGCGCGATGAATGCCTACTGCTCTAGACACATGCATCAGTGTGAATGTTTAAGTGAGCATGAGCAGTTTCACCGGGTGGAATATATACATTCACTGTGGGTAAGCTCAGTTATGGCTTGGTGTACGTACCAACAGACACGCTCAATCTTATGGTTAAGCTTGGTTCTTTGTTCCGTTACGCTCAAGGAGGCGTGCGGCTGATTATTCCTAGTCTCGCCAGCTCGCTCCCTCGTCTCAGTTATGTTCAGACAGAGAATTCTCTCCCTCAGTCTCTCCTACCCACTTTCCGTATCTGCTGACGAACCCCAGCAAGCCACCCCTTCTATATATACGATTCGACGTGGATCATCTACTGTGGTTGCACCGTGGTTTCACCAACTCTACTGAAGTCATCGCAAAGGGCACCAGGAGCAGTGGAGCGTGCTGCTGTGATGGCTAGGCAACAGATAAGCTCACGGTGCGATTACCGGCCACAGCATAACGGCGACAATAGGGTAAAAATACGCCTAGTTTAGCCCACGCTGCAACATTAGGGAGGTGTGCAACATGCGCCTTGCATTTCGTGGCGCTTCACCAGTCTCCAGCTCTTTAATGCAGTTTAGATACGTTCATCTGCAGCGAGATCCATCGGTTTCTTTAGGATGTAAAAAGGAAGCACCCGTCGGAGGAGCAATTACACTCTTGGCGGTGAGGTAGCTCCTTCTGCTGTCCGGCATGTTTGTCAGCCGCATGGTTGGGTGCGTTCTAGCAATTTCAGCTATCCTGAAATACTTGACTGTGAACTTGCCTCTTGACATGAGATACATGAATGAGAATCGAGGCCCAGAGTCTTCTAGTAAATGATTCTATTGCAAAGTAAGTTGTAAATAATTATAAAAGAAAAGCAGTGCGAGTCGCTTGCAATATGTTGACTTTGTGGGCCTTTTCTACTGTCAGATACGGTTCCATCGTCGAGGATTCTTTTTTTTGACAACCTAACTGCCAGATACACAATTGCTGCTACGATTCAGTCTCCTATACTAAAGCTGTGCTCATCTCTACATCGATAGGCCAAAGAACTCATTATTGCCACGGCAATAAATTAAGCACAAGCAATTGCGCAGCAAACAGCGGAACATCTACGATGCGTCTCTCATTGCATATGCTAAAATCAGTATGGAGGGCTGGGTAGAAACCGGAAGTATTTCGGAATACAAATATCAAAATTCGCAGTTTTTAAGCCTAAAATTCAGATACTTAGATTTTTAGATGACGTAACAGGATAGTTCAGAGATACTTTTGCAAAAAGGCAAAAAAAGTGTTTCAGAATACAGGCACAGCAGTACAGATACTGAAATACGTTTCTCCATGTCAGGGATAGTCATACTTTGTGCAGAAATTTATGTGCAACATATTATTTGAAATGCGTAGCGCATTGAATCTCGCATTGAAATTTATTCGTTATAATATTACTATACTCTGAGTGCTACTAAGCCATTGCGAAGGAGACTTCCACTGCACATAATTGCTAATTCCGACATATTTACTGATATCAGTAGCAATAAAATACTACTCTGTATGAGAGCAAGAGTAACAGGCATTGTACACCGAACTCAGGATACTTGGCGGCAGTGTTATTAGCTACGCTCGAAGTATCATAGTTATAGCGAAGTGCTTGAACTTTACACAAACGAATCTAGAAAATGTATATTTTTATTTAACATAAGTCTGTTTTGTCGAAACGTCTGGCGCGTCATTTGCAATTGCAGCAGTACAGCTTATCAAATAAGCCGTGATCTAGACATGTTCGGCATCAACATTAGACTTGTGAATGAGAAACATCGCTCTACCACTGCAGAGGAGCACAAATTTGTGTTATAGCGCATACAGTTCACACCGATTCGGTGAGAACAGTAAGCGTAGTGGCAAACAATGACTGAAATGCGGAGGGGGTGTGCCGGAGGGAGACCACCATTTTAATGCATGTACGTTACCCGTTACAGTTCCGAAATTGTAACGAGTACGTTACTGAGTTACCTAAAAAACTCAGCAGATCGCACGTACCTGATAATCAACGTTATTCGAAGCATGCACAGGGATGGTGATGGTGTTGCAATTTTTATATTTAGCGATACGTCATAAAATGATGCTAAATATGTGCACAAATGTTGCACGCTTATATATATGAAGAATGGCAGATGTTTATAACCAGTTTTTTGGATTTGCGCAATGAAGCCAACTGAAAAATGCGTATTACCAACACTAGAAGCTGATATGAAGCGCTGATGCTCGCGAAGATGCTGGTACTGGATTGTGCTACTTGAATCAACTTCAGCGCATGGCACCAAACCACGATTCACGTTAACCCGCCGTGACGGCTGTATCAAAAGAGAACATATGTAAGTTTTGTAAAATTTGGTAAACAGCATTGCAACCACATTGATGTTTCTAAAAAATTCGCGTCAGTTTGAAAAGTAGTTCCGAGACCTGGCGTAGCTCTGTGCTAGAATGGCTTGACTGCCACGCAGAAAGCTTGTGTTCGATTCCTGTTGGGACACTCAAATTTATTATTTGCATTTGTGGGGTGCCACCACTGCCTAAATGTCATGTTTTTCTTAACACTGATTTTTTTTGTGCCATCGTTTGGTCGACGCCACCGATGTCGGGTATTACTTAACGCTCACACGTGAATATTGTCTTTGTGTGTTCTCATCATTCCTGGGTATATCCTAAGTATCAATCACCTGTGGTACATAACCGCATACCAGCGGGACGTACCCGCCCATGGTATGTGCCTCTGTCTGGCGGAACGTCTTTGACGACATACGCGAGAGAATTGCGATATTGTTCATGTCTTGACCAGCGCTTCATATTCTTCAAACCATCTTCCCCTACCATGCTAATTTTCATTCACGCCGAGTTAAAGGGGTGACTACGAGAGCACCCAAACGTAAGCGGATAGATAGATAGATAGATAGATAGATAGATAGATATTTGCTGGTTGCTTTACATGTAATCAGTTCTTCAAGTTCCAGGTACATACCAATATGTTTATTAAACTGCATAATTTCTACAGGGCTAACAACCATGCTTTCATTTGTGTACTAGCGCTACCATGTGATTACTTGGCAGTGTATCCAGCAGCTGCGTGGTACTGAAATATAAAATTTATAGAGGTGAAAAGGCTGTTTTCCAGCGTTAAAATTTTTATACATGTGTCACAAAAAAAGCAGCTGCAACTGTAGCCTGGCGCCAGCTATTGTGCATTCACTATAAACGGCGAACAATGGGCAAACAACGGTGTGTTAGGAGTAAGAGGCATAAAGATGTATTTTACGCATTATGAAACACCACCTTCATCCAGACGTGGAAAAACAAAATGCCGTAAGTTCTCTTTCAGAATGTGAGCAACAAGGCTACTTGATTGTCAGTATTCTCAAGAAACTCTGCTTTGCATGGCAATCTAAAGGTAGAATGGCGCAAAAGTGTCGCTGCTTTAACATCATTTGCATCGCGCTGCTTTTAACAATGAGTCTGAGCCGATGCGCTGGCCGTTCTCTGAACAGAATGGTAAGTCGTCATGCCACTCAGTCTTTTAAATATGAAGCATCAAAAGAGACTATGATGGGAAGCTATTTCGGTTCTTTTAGGAAAAATGCAAATTATTTTTATACATCCTTGAATATTTCGAACTTTTCGGCAGCAGCTCTTATCAATCCTCTTCTGTGAAGTTTGCCGCACTGCGGTACGCACTCATCATCAGACAAACCAATGAATCTTAAATAAGGCCTACATAAAATGGAAATAAAGCAAGAAAGATGAAACCAAATTTGGGGAAATGAGGACGCGTTGCTTCTTTCATTAGATTTCGTTTTGCTGGTGGTTCTTGCCAGACAGCGGGGATAAAAACGATTTAAATTTGAAAACAATATTCCAAAGGCAGGGGTTATTATTACTGGCTTCACACAACTAGAGAATCAACCGCACATAGACGTCGCCCCACCTATGTGGGTGGCATTGTCAGTACACAAAGTGCATCCAATGAAAAAATACATGTTATTTATATCTTGCCAGGAACATCCCGCAGGGTAGCAGTATTACTGTTATTTGCCATTTGATCACTATGGATAAACCGTGATGCTACAAATTTTCTTGGGCCTCAGCGTTTCTTCCCGTACCAGCACCGGCTCATTATCGTTATCGAACACGGATTTTTAGGGGCGAAGCTCTAAAGGCATGGGCTGTTCGTCCCCTGTTTGTAGCCACCTCTCGTTTAGGTCTTGCAGTGTTCACTAGATAGCGCTACTTTCCCGTGTACGGGAGCTCACTTCTTTTCGAGGCTCGCGCAGGCGCGCTCCAAACCCTCGCCTAAGGAAGAACGACACAACACCGGTGCTTCCGGTGTTGTGTCGCGCGTGTGGCAGTGCGGAGTAAATAATTGCGCACATTGTGCTCGAGTGCGACCAAATAGGCCTCCTGGGGACGGAGCCATTGCACACAGCGCTGGGCTTTGCGGGTGAGGATGGTGTGATTAATCCACAAAGAGTGAAGGAGACGATGCGGCATCTCGAGCGCGGGAAGGCAGTGGTTGTCTCGCAGCGAGCGAAAGCACTGGGTGGCGCAGCGCAGTGACAGTGTAGCAGTGGTTGCGAGCTCAAGCAGAGCGTGACTTTTTGTGCGTTTTTTTTGTCACCGATTTATATGCTAGGGTGTCACTACACCCGCCCGATAAAAAGGGAACATCAAATCATCATCACCATGTAACCATCTCTCGTTTAGTTCTTGCAGCGTTCACTAGATGGCGGCACTTGTCGCTGATGATGAAAAGTTGCAATATGTTATAAACTAGACAGCGGTATTTGTAGTTGATGATGAAAGATGCGAGTTGTTATAAAATAGAGTGACGTCACATATGGCGCGTGGAATTGGTGGAAGGCAGTCGTTCGATTTAGTGCGGTGACGTACGCTAGGGGAGCATTGTAATAAAATCGAGTGGGCAAAATGTACGGAAGATTTATGGTTTACCAGGCTTACCTCCGGATCTTCGCTCACACGTCATCATTCACATCGTGGATATTGCGCACTTTTTTTTCATCAGGCAGTCGTCGAAAAATTCAGGCTTAGCACGTGTTGCATGTGTTCATTTTGCGAGGTCTGTCGTGTGCTTTTTCAGGTGAGCACTACGGCATTGCCGCTTCTCACCAATGTCGCTGGCAGCACAGTTCAGGCAACTGACCTTATACATCACTAAGCCCTGTTCCTCCAGACGGGTGCGGTCTTTAGGCTTTGGGGACACATTTGCGAGTGTGCGCGTGAGTGTAAACACAGTTCCAATATCCTAAGGCCTGTCACCTACCAGTTGTTTGTCGACGATACACGACACTGCATAAAATGATCTCGCGAGGGCAGCACTAATTGAGCCACTTCTTTTGTGTTGAAGGATTTTGTTCGTATTGTGTCAGAAGCAGTGCACAAGACCTTTAGCGCACCGCATTTTCTGCTATGAAAGGCAGGTGCATACTGGCTGTGCGCCTGAGAAAGCAGTCGGAAGTCTCAGAGACAGTTATTTACTTTTTAGTAACGTTGTCCAAGTACTAAACCAGTAATGCACACCTAATTGAAGGCGTCTCTCGTTATCGTATGATGGTTTTGGGACTTTAAATCCCGGATATCAATCAGCATCTAATTAAAGAAATAACCTGCCGCAGGTACGCGTGGAACGACTGCTTATAATCAGTGTCCCCATAAGGCAGAGTAGATGGATGAATGGATGAAAGTTTTTATTAGGGTCATGAAGGATTCCGCCGCCATTTTATAATGGTAGGATCGCGGGCCGCTTTCACATAGAGACGGGGAGGATCAGCATCGCCTCCGCATCGTGGGCCTTCTCGACAGCCTTAAGTTGTATGAGAACCGAAATAGTGAGCGTTAGGTGGAAGGCATTTTCGGAAAATTCTAGAGATACTAAACAATTGATACTAAAACACAACTATGAAAAAAAGCACTAATGCACTTTTGTTTAACTGACCTAACCACACATAATAAATGCAAAGAGGCGATAGCTGTTAGATAGTTTTGAAATTACAAGTTCAGAACAGGGCGGCATTCTATCAAGCATTCTTTATATTAATTGACCTTACTACAGTCACAACAATATTATAACTCAGAAACCTTAGCGATAGGTATGAATTCTTACGTAGCACTGGCTTTATTTGTGGTGCTGAAGGCTTAAGCATTCATTTCCGCGCTAAGTTCACATATTGCGCTCTCTTTGTTTTTTATGCAAAGTATTTCTCAACGAAATTCGGCGACTTTGACCGTGTCTGTCTGTCTGTCTATCTAGCCGCCGAGGTCATTTAGCTCTCCTGGTCTTTTCTATGATGAGATCTATACCAAAATAAGTATGGCATAACATGACTGTATGACAAGCATAATTGACTAGTCATAACATGAAACTCACAACATGTATTTCATGAATGTCACAATCTACATGTCAAGGTCTTGCTGCTGTTGCGGTTGTTTTGTTTACATTACATATTGCAAAAGCGGTATGGTATGGCCTGACAGCATGGCGAACATTAGTGATTGGGCCAAACGTGTATATCATGACGAGCGTGTCATGTAAGTCGCGACTACACCCAACTCTCATGGCTCGCTCGCAGTCATTTCGCTGGCTTCACTTATATCGAAATTGGTATCACGTGACGTGAATGAATGAAAAAGGTATATGACTGGTGCAAACAAGATAATCATGGCCAGCATGTCGTGTAAAAACATTAATACGTACTGCGCTCATGATGCGCTAGCGGTCGTTTCGCCAGCTTCTCACATATCAAATTTGGTATTACGTTATGTGAATGGATGACGAAGGCATATGACTTGTTAAATCATGATAATCAAGGCATGCATATCATGTAGGAACATGACTACATGCCACGCTCGTTATGCGCTCAGAGCCATTTGGGTAGCTTCGCATATACTAACTCTAGTGTTACGTGACGTGAAATAATTACGAAGGTATATGAGTGGTGAAAGCGTGATAATCATGATATTATTGGCATGTAAGAAGATAAATACATACCACGCTCCTCATGAGCTCACGACCATTTCGCCAGCTTTGCATAGACCTAATTCGGTACTACGTGACGTGATTGGATGATGAAGGCAAATCACATGTTCAAACATCCTGATCAATATATGCGTTCCATGTAAAGCCTGAGATGCTACGCTTATAGCACGCTCGCGGCCGTTCCGCTAGCTTCACATGTACTAAATTTGGTATTAGGTGACGTGAATATACGACAAAAGTAAATGATACGTCCAAACATGATAATCATGACATTCGTGTCAAGTAAAGCATGACTACGTGCCATGGTTATAGCTTGCTGATGGTCGTTTCGCTAGCTTCAAATATACCAATCTTGGTATTACGTGCCATGAATGGACGACAAAGGTAAACGAACTTCTAAGCATATGATAGTCATAACAAGCTTTCCATATAAAACATGCTAGGATAGCATGCTCTTGATGCGCTCGCGGCCGTTTCGCTAGCTTCACATATGACAATTAGGGTATTACGTGGGGTGAATGGACGACGAAGGTACATCACATGTCCAAACTTGAATCAATATATGCCTGTACTACATGCGACGCTCATAGTGCGCTCGCGGCATTTTCGCTAGCTTCACATATACCAATTTGTTATTACGGGACGTCGATTGATGACGAACACAAATGCCAGGTGCTGATTTTAAAGAGACATAGCAACCTTCCTCACTCCTGCTTTGCATATCATCAATTCCCACTGCACGTGGCACCTGCCAATTATTTTTTTAAGGATTTGCAACTGCCACATAATATAGTTGTACGTACTTCACATTCAATATTTTAGACGGTAAAGTGTCTCGCAAAACTTCTTAGTATTGATTCAGACAAGGTATTTTATTATTGCTGTGAGGAAAATTGGCACACTTTTATATTCATGCGCATATTTGATGGCACAAGTGAGTAACTAAAGCAGTGATTGCCCAGAACGCGGTAACATCCTTATCAGAAAATCAGAGCAAGTCACAAATCCAGTACAAGACGCTACTTCTTCAGTTATTCAGAAACAGTTGCCTGTCATCGGCGGCAGGCAGAAATATTCCAGGCACAATGCATGAACGCTGCATTGACGGTAATTTGTGTATATGAAAGTAAGTACTCTAAAACAACAAAGCGAATGCAATGACGTTTTTTTCTGCTACACTACTCGTACTTCCACCTTAGAGTGGGCACCCTATCAGTAAAATAGCCATGACTCACTGCTACCGTCCGAGCCCTCTTCAGCAATAAAAAAAAGTCAACATTTACGCTCTGTGGCATACTTATATTATATTTCGCTTTTTGCCTACAAACAACTCTCCCTAATGATGTCTTAGTCGACTCATAAAACTTGAACTGAGATGCAGTACGAAGAGAATATGTTTGACGTAGGTTTCTGATCGCCCGTTGTAAGTTTGGGCACGTAAGTTGAGCAAAAAAGATGAAAAATCATGGGATATGTATGAAGTGAAGGATAATGAGTAAGGCGAAGCACCCGTAAGCCCGTCCGTAAGCCCGTTGTGCTTCCATCCATCCGTTCGTTCTTGCTTCTGTCCGTCTGCGCGACCATCCGTACGTCCATCTATGCGTTTGTCTGTCTGTCCACGCGTCTGTCCATCTGTCCGTTCGTCATGTAGTCTTTCTGTCCAACCATCCATGCGTCCATCTAGTGAACACTCAGAGTACTGCCATCCCGCATTTCGCATCACCTGTGGCATATACCTGCTCCGTGCGTCCATACATTCATCCGTCCGTCGAATAGTCTGTCTGTCCCTCCATTCATGCGTTCGTTCGTGCGTCCATCTATTTATTATTCCAAGTACTGCCATCTCCCATCTCGCATGAGTCATGAGGCAGGCAGTGGCAATTACCTACTCTAGAGCGGGTAAGTGCCACTGGTGGCTACATACACCAGCGGAAGATGAACAAACCCATGGGTTAAGGAGCTTTGCCCCCAAAACTAATTATTGCATATACACGGTGCCAGCTGAGCACTTTTTTATTGGGCAGTGCTAATTTGAAAAACGTTAACCAGTATGCGCTTTAATACTTTAACCTTGCCTTGATACCTGAGTTGGAAAGAAATTTAAAAAAAGATACACTCAAATTGCCTTACATTGTAGTAATACGCAAAATAAACTTAAGTCGTATGTTCTAATTAATTGCAGATTCGCAGTGTCGGCCAGCCATGCCATGCAAGAGCACCGTGCATAAATTGGGCGTGCTGTCGAAAATATGGCCGTGAATCAGCGTGTTACCCTAGAGCCCGAAGAGGAAATCGCTGCTCAATTGTTCACTTCAATGGAACATACCACAAGCATTGCCCGTGTGCGCCTGGGCATGGTAATAATTTCACAGCGAATGTTGTTTTAGATAAGAACAGTTTTCGCTGCCGAAGTTGTCTGCTATTAACAAAATTGGTGTTGGCAACAACTATCGCATGGAATCACAAAAAACTAAAGAAGGGGCTAATATTTTTTATGCCAACAGCATCGAACATGTGCCCTCTTGGTGCAAGCTTCACATTGTACCAAGAGTGAGGCCGATGCATGAAACTTCTTCGCAATAAGGCACTCTTTATAACATAGCTTGTTCGAAGAGTTTAAAAACAACCTGACGTCACAAAATGCGAATTCTGTAGCGAATAGATCGCTGAATGCTTCCAACCTCCTGCATATGGCTCAGCCAAAGTCTTCAATATCAGCGTTCACAGATTGCACAAAGTGCACATAATACCATTTAGGTGTGTCGCTGGTACCCCATTTCTCTAAAAACGAAAAATATTACCATATTAGATGCTGTCGTACTTCACAAAATTATGAAGATTCATAGCATAATGGACACTTTTCTAGTGTACTTTGAGTTGGTGCCAAGGAAGTCCGCAAGGCCCCTATGATATATTTACTCAGGCCCGCAATACAGTTCGAGCTACCTCCCACCACGCTCTCCACTCTCTCTCAAGGTAATGAATGTCACATTGCGTGGTGGTAGTGAAACTAACCATTACGCGTCATACAACGCGAATAGCGTTAGCTAGAGATTTTTTCCCAACTTCCAAGCTCTTAAAAATTCTCCGTCAGAATTCTTCATTGCCATAAGCAACCGCAATGATAACGTGCACAAAATGTCTTGCAGAGCTGTAGTGGCCCGGTAACCCATTCTTCCACAGAATGGACAATATTGGCGTACCTGATGTTTCCTACTTCATCAAAGTTTTGAATTTTCACATAGTGCGTACTTACAAGCCTACTTGTAACAGTAGCCCCAACAGAATTTACCGCTTCCTCTTGAAAGTACGCTCTCCCAGCGCTCGTTGTCAGTGTGCTGCAATTTTGAGCAGGCCTGGCCTTTGCTGTTTATTATTCGACCCATTTCTTTGCGTATTGTAAAAACTTTCGACGTTCTTATGCATCTATCTATCTATCTATCTATCTATCTATCTATCTATCTATCTATCTATCTATCTATCTATCTATCTATCTATCTATCTAGCAACCTACGCCTGGATGCTCTCGTGAGAAACTCCTTAACTTAGAACAGAACGAAATAAGCATGGTAGATTAAAAAGATTTAACAGTTATGAGTGGTTATAACAGGGCTATTGATGATGATGATGATTATGGTCCTTGTTACTGTGTCGCACACCCACAAAGGGGGATTGGCTAAGACCCGGGCGGCAGGATCTTAAGTAAAAGGCTTGTGGTTTTTTGAACACAAAGTATTTTTGGACTGAAAAAAAGTTATATAGAAAGAAAAGCGAGATAATCTCGACAAGTACTGCATGAAATCTCTTCCTTAATCCAAGTGCGGTACATACCCGCGTAACACGGGCTGCGGTAGATGGCTGTGTAGCGCAGGTTTTTGACACTTTATATTGTCACACGTCAGGGGCTCGAACAAACGTACAAGGAGACGCGAACCTCAAAATGTCAGACACGAAGAATGACGTTTGCGGCTGGGGCGGGTTTCTCGTCTTCGTTATCTTCGTTCACTAGCACAGGTACGCACCGAAGACTTGAGTTATTTTTTTTTCAACCGACCAAGACAAATATTCTCACACTTTTATGTTATACACTGCGAGAAAAGAAATGAGCGAGCCAGAACTGTGTTGCCCTTCCTAATTGCTAAGTGACTAGCAGAAATTCTCCGTGCCGGGTACAAGGTTACCAAAATGGCCAGCGGAGATCTGCTTCCTGAGATACGACATAAATATCGATTCGAAAAGCTTCCCTCTCTTACAACAATTGGCGATACATCAATCAGTATTACACTGCATAGGTCCATTAAATTGGCTTGAGGGGAAGTATCAGACGCAAATCTGCTCGACCTGGCTGAAGCTCAACTTCTGGAGGGATGGAGGAGCCAGAACGTAACCAACGTACAGTGGAAAAAAGATGATAGGAGAAAATAGGGAATAATTGATATGTGGGGTTTAACCACCCAAAATCACCATATGATTATGACAGACACCGTAGTGGAGGGCTCCGGAAATTTCGACCACCCGGGGTTCTTGAACTCGCATCCAAATCTGAGCACACGGGCCTACAACATTTCTGCCTCCATCGGAAATGCAGCCGCCACAGCCTGCATTTGAACCCGCGACCTGCAGGACAGCAGCCAAGTACCTTAGCCACTAGGCCACTGTGGCGGGGAAAGAGAAAATAAGGGAACACAAACTAATTACCTAATATTGAACTTTGCTTCAATTTGTCTCCTGGAAACCATCTAAACTGGGAATACAAAGACAACCGTGAGGCCATACAATCTTAATCACCACCGTTCTTTCCGATGTGAGAGATATGGCCATAGCTTGCAAAGCTGCCGTGGTCGGCAAATTTATGCTCTATGTGGAGTCTTGGGTCACGTGTCCGAGAATCGCAATAACCGGCACACTGTGCGAACTGTGATGGAAATTATGCCGCATAATCACGGTCCTGTCCTTCTTAAAAAAAAGAGAAAGAGGTCGTCACATGAAAGGTAAAAGAAAATATCACATTGAAAGAAGCAAGAAGAAAAGTCTCGCCATTTTATGGACCCACATGTACGGAAGCGGCGCGTCAGGGGCTGCGTCACACAAGCCCTCGCCACTCCTTCGGCCTGCGCAGAGCGAGCCACCGGTTCTGTCGCCTGTCCCCAAGGCGGCAGTAGTTAAGTCTAATCCGCCTTCTAGCGAACTGACACTGGGGACTCCGGGGTCTTCAGGCCTTGAGGCCTCCCCTCACCAGCGCGAGGCCAAAACTTCGAACAACCAGGTCCCATGTGCGGGCATCCAGTGCCTTTGAGGAGGGAATAGATACGGTAGCACCCCTGGTGCCGCAATAGTGGCGCGGCTCTTTAGAGTGCGTCAAGACAACTAAAAAGCTAGTAAGGGGGCTTGATGATAGCCCTGTTACTTGATTTCAAACTTTCAGCTTAAACAAGCCACACCCTTAGCGTACACGCAGCACTACTTTACTTTCGCCACGAACACTCAGGTTATGCAGTGGAACGTCGGGGGTCTTCTCAGGAACCTTGACGTCGTTCAAGAAATTTTGCAAAAACACTCACGAAACATGCTGTGGGTACAGAAAACGCACTTAAACCTAAACCCACAGCTTTCTACGCAGTCACAATATTTTCTGAAAGGACTACGATGACGCTCTGGCATCATTCGCAGGTGTAGTTGTTAAAGTTAGCCAAGGAATAGAAGTGAAGATTTATCATTCCAAACGTCTCTTGGGGCAGTGGCTGTCCAAATGGTGCTTGTAAAGAAGCTCGTTACCCTTTGCTTTGTATAGATACGTCCACTTTTTCAACTGCACAAACATGAATTCCAATCTTTGATATATGAACTTCCCGAACCTTTTCTTGTCTTAGGGCCTTTATTTTGCATAGTAGTTTTTGCGAGACTGTCGTTATGACGCACGAGGTCGCTGAGTTCATTTTCCCTTCCGGCGCTTATCTTCTGAATCGCAAAGAGCCTACCTACTACAGTATCGCTAACACTACCTACTCCTTTATGTACGTAAGCATTGCATCTCCGTCGCTTCTACCCTCAATGGAAAGTCCACAATAATCCTTACGGAAGCGGCCATTTTCCAGTAGCTTTGAGTACACTAACATCTTATGAATGTCCTTCACAGGTACCCAAACGACTCACCGAAAAATCTGATTGGGAACAGTTTCAAAAAGATACTCTCCGAACCTGTGGTGGCTTGCGTGAGTTAGGCATCGAAAGCTGCTGTGGACTACTTGACAGCTTTTGAAATTGATGTGTCCACCAAATGTACTCCACAAACAAGTGCAATATCTGGATAACGACAAAACAAAGCATGGAGATTGTTTCGGGAATCTGTGATGGCTGAGAGTCTCACAAATTTTAAAAACATAAAATCCCAGGGCAGGGATACGCGCAGACAAAAAGAAGAGAAAGTTCGCAAATTTTTCATCTAGCATCACTTTGTATACACATAAGGGTAAGGTCTGGAATAGGGTGACAGAGTGGTAGCCAAACGATCATATTTGCTCCATCTGGTGCTCACAAAAGGTGACAGCTTAGAATAACAGGCTAACTACCTAGGATCACACCGAGCTTGACACACTGCTCTCAAAAGTTCCAATAATACAAGGCAAGAATGGAGAAGCAGAAACTAGATACCAAATGTACAACATACGAGGCCTACAGCCAACCTTTCTCCCTAGCTGAACTACAGGCATCTCTAAACTGCTTCAGCACTTCCGCTGCGGGATCCATGTGGTCTACAAAATGTTTAAGTACCTTCCCTCCGAAACGCAAAAAAAACTTACTTTTTCTGTACAATTGCATCTGGTTTTCCGGCGACATACCTTCCACTTGAAAACAGGCTATATTGATTTCTATTTTGAAAGAAAGCTAGGATACATTCTCTGTTAAGAGTTATAGGCCCATAGCACTGACAAGCTGTCCATGAAAGTTTTTCGAAAATATGACAAATTGCCGACTCGTACACTTCCTTGAAACTAACAGCCTACTTGAGCCCTACCAGTGTGGATTTCGAGAAGATAGATCACCATTGACCACCTGGTATGAATCGAGGTACAGATCGGAGACACTTTCCTTCATAAGAAACTTTTTCTGTCGGTCTTTCTCAATATTGTAAGACAGTAGCAGCGTTGGAGGCTCGACGGCGTTTATCAGGCCGAATCGCCTGAACAACCCTTCGAACGAAGACGACGTTTTTCGTGATGATGATTATATACAGATGAAGCAAATGAAGATGAAACGTTCTCAATATTGTGCCTACACTAATTTCCCCCTGGCGCGAAAGCGGCCAATCAGGCCGCTATTTATGACGGTGGTGTACGGCGCACGAATGGTTTTAAGC